AAAAAATTTCCCTTTTAATATCCAGAAATCTCCCGAGCTTATATTGTGAGCCCAGATTTAAAACTAGAACCTTCCACTAAACCCATCAAACTTTAGAAGGCAAGAAAACTCTGACAGTTTTCATATATAGGTGCCATGAGGTGGTTCGAACCCAGATGTAGATTCAATCTAATTAGTATCACTAAATCTATTCCACGGAAGGTTGGAAAGACGAAGCAAAATCTATTACACTAATTACAACAATACAAATGAAGCCTACAAAGTGCGAGGATGGAATATCAGATTTCTCAATATAACTTTGGATACTCTCAATAAGGTCATCCTTCTCTGTATCCTTAATAAAAAAAACATCTCCCTTCTTAAAATGAAAGCAGAATTTTGGCATGCTTTTCCCGCTTTAGTGTGACGCTGATCAACATGAACTCACTACGCACGCCTGCCCATCCAGTTAGTGCTACGAAAAACTGCATACACAAACAAGACAATGTATCTGCCCTTGTCATGTATTGGCCAATTGATCGTATCAAATTTTTTATCCAGAGACAAATTTAGATTGAAGAATGATAATTGTCCCGCTCTAAGATATGATTAGAATGCACGGTATGGAAAATAATTTAAAGAGACGGAAAAGAGAGAGGAGTACCCTTTTTATGATCCTTCTCAGATAATCTTGTTCCGGATTTCTTCAAGTTTTTTAAGAATCTCCCCAGGCGTTCTATCCAACTCATCTGCAATTTTTCTCTGCAAATCCAGGGGCAATGTTGGGAATTGCTCGCAAAGATCTCCGTCAATTACATCCTGCAAAATAATCCAATAATGGTCAACACTGCTCCAAAATCTTACTTAAAACTGGATATGAAAAAACTGACAAATTAGGCTTCAACATGAACTTTGAGCCGTCAAACATATTCAGGCCTCGTTTGTTTCGAACTATCGAATCACAACTCAATGACAGTGTTTCTCTCACAAAAATTTAAATTTTTTTCTACTACAGTAGTTTCTCTCACATAAATTTACAAATTAACTCATTGTCTCAACTTGAAAGCGAAGGGCCTCAATCTTATCATTGCATAAAACAATTATACATTAACTAAATAATACTTTGAATTTCCAATGCGTAATTCATTTACAAAATACAAACTCCCAAACAATTTTCATTGCATATCCTAATCTGTTACATGTCACATTTTCCATGTCACCTTATGCTCATTAATCATATGTTTCAACCTAAAACAAGAATTTCACAAAAAACCAAAATTATTTACTACTCAAGCCACATTAACGAAAGGCATGGTGGGACACGTTACGCGAAACAATAAATTTTCCACTGCTGCAATCCAATGAAGATGATATATAGTGCTAGTGCATGCAAGACACAAGCTATAAATGAATGTTTAATTGAATAAAATCCTTTTTGTAATTAAAAAAAAAAAGAAGAAGAAAGGGACAACGTCAATGACATCATAAACACATTAAGCATTCCATGCCAGCAAATAAGGAAACAAAATATTTTACCTTGACTGGAAAATAAGCAGATCTATAACCCATGTGATCTCTTCCACATAAGGGTGGATGCTCCTGCCTCATATGCATCTCCAAGTGAGAAAAGAAGTCAACATCGTCACGGGATGTGAATGCAAGCAGTGCCCCCAAACTGCCCATCACTGTCCCATAAATCATGCACTCCCCACCACCTGGAATCAGAGAAGCCTTCTGCAAGCAAGTGGCCACATCGCCAACATGGAACTGCACTATCTCCTCTACCTTGTTGGGAGCTCCATTCAACTTTCCCTGCTCCCACTTTATCCTCCCACCAGTTGGATCTTCTTCTATCTCGTCTGAAACATCCTGTGGTAATCGCACAAAATAGATGTTACCAAACTTGTCTGCACCTGCCATTGTGTCAAAATCCACGTGATACGATGCAGTGAGCCATCTTGGGACACAATCATCGGCAAATATGTACAGCTGATTCTCATCTCGCCTGTACTTGCAATAATGGAATGACTGCAAAAATAGGGGAGGAAATGAGAAAGTAGAGAGTTAGAGTCTAAAGTAAATAAACAGAAACGTGCAAGTATTGGCTCTCAGTGAAAAACTCTCAAGAATTGCACGCCTAAGAACCCGAAAAATAAAATTCAAAAAATTAAAAAAAATTAAAAAAATTAAATTAAAAAAAAAAAGAGGGGGGAGGGGGGTGGTGAAAATTAGAGCATACCTCCTGAATATCACCAACGAAAATTCGATCACGATATGTTTGAATTGATACGATTGTGTTGGGGAAGAGCTTATTCTCACATTTCCTAAGCAATCTCTTTTTCCCAAGATCATATAATCTGAGCACCGGTCCTATTCCAGCAAGTAATCTCCCCTGAAATTGGCACAAAGCAAGAGGAACACCTTCCACTTGTGTCTTGTGCAGAAGTTCAAGGGATTTTCCATCCTCTAGAAACCTGTATATGTGAATGAATCCTGCAGTTAAACTTCTCTTTGGAAAAAACTGCAGTCCCTTCGCTGTACCAACTGCTAAAAGAGTGCCATACTCCTTATCATGAAAATTCACAGTACATATACTGAATGCAGCTTCATTATCCTGAAGCTCCAAAAGGCAAGTGGTACTTGAAGTCTTTGGGTCAAGAACTCTGATGCAAGAAACCCATCTGTCAGACTCGGCCTTGGGATAACCATAATGCTCATCAGATAGGGGATCGTCCCTGTCCTCATCCTCACCACCATTCTCCATTTCCATGTTACCATTTCCGTTTTCTCCCATTCCAGAGGCCTCAAAGCACTCCTTTTTTGCAGCTTCACGCTCTTCTGCTGGGAAAGCTCCCTGATCACCCTCAATAATTACCAATAACTTCCGCTTGGGTTGAAGTACAAACTTTCTTGGAGTGTACCTTAGTGGAATGACAGTTTCGTTGAACGTTTCTCCCAACCTTTCAATAGTAAAAACCCTTAAAGCTTCACCAGCAACAGCAACTACACCTTCTGCACACTGATCAGATGAAAATGAGGCAGCATATTCAAGGGTTTCATAGGAGAGGGGTGTTAAAAGAAAATGTCCTTGGTGAATGTAGCCAAGCCAAGGCCGACTCGACAAACAAAGCATTGCACGCTTTCCTCTCACAATGATGGAAAACAGCTTTGGAGCTCTCAGTCCCAAGAAGCGAGATCGGGAATCAGAAAGTTGACCTGTCACCATATCCACCACAGTTCTGAACAAAACCCCAGTTCGTAAACCAGCATTAAGGAAAAGGCTAGCAGGATGATCAGCACCATCCTCCCCACCAATTGATGCCTGAACTTCGAGAAAAAGAAGAGATTCTGGAGTGGAAGAAACACTTTGCACGCTCAGAATCTGCATACAGTCATCAGGATCCAGTGACAAGATACGAATTGTGTTGTCATATGAACCAACAGCCAAGAAACGAGATCTCTGTCTCCCTTCGGGTACTGGGGCAATATCCAAGCAAGCAATATCTCCAGACATCTCATGTTTCTCCACCTCCATTAGTTGACCAGTCATATCAACCTCAAAATATATAAGCTCTCCTCCACTCAGAGCAATAACTACTTGAAGTCTATTAGAGCCAACTTTAACAATCGTTCTTTTCCCAGGAGTTCTCCACTCATTGATGCGTCCATCTTCCCTGATATGCCTAATGCCATTTGGGTGAACTTGCATAAGAGAATCGTCTCCTATCAAAGAAACGGCAAGTGAAGGGGTTGTATCAAGAAACCCACTATCATTAACTTCTTCAACTGTCTCACCAATTGAAAGCACGAGAGTAGCATTTGCAAATGACACAACAATGTATGCATCAAACTCATCATTGATATTCTTTTTCACAGTCCATACTGCACTTGGTACACCAGGAAGTTCTGACACGGCCATCTCGCTGATTGCCAAACCTGGTCTTAATATCCTGAGAGAAGACCGAGGACCCCGTCCGCAGAGCGTAAATATTTGAGATGTTTCTTCCTCAAAGAGATTAAGGACTTTCATGTCCATAATTGGCATCAAACTCTCAACCTGATCAATCCTTACGAGGTTCTTAAGTCGCCTAGGTTGGAAAAACACAGGCTGGAAACCTTCTTCAGTTTCCATCAACGTAGCAGAGGAAGACTCTATATCATCATCATCCCCTATAGCCTTGAACTGATACAATGAGTGATTCCCAAATTCAGATGCAGCAAATAGAAAACCGGACTTCAGAACACACATAGAAGATGTAACGGGAATTGTATCAAAGTACTTGATTTTCAATTCCGTAACACGGTCATTGTCATGCTCTAAAGTAACTTTAAATATATCTCCATACTCGGTCTGCAAAAGAAAAAAGAACATCGATTTCTGCTTGTGCATAGCTGCCGAAACTATCAGAACCCCACGCTCAGCAGGTAAATCAACACGCCTAGGAATCACAGCTCGAACATCTGGGTGTCCCTGATTCTTATAAATCACGAAATTCTCTGCACACACCAACACACCGCTCGGTCCGTCACCGCCTCCAGGAACAGTGACCAACATATTGGCACCATTATCGACCTGCTCTGACCACTTCCTCGACACATGGTTAAGCCCAAGGTCAAGCTCGTAAAAGGTCAAATGCTTCTGCGCCTCACTGGCCGCCAGACCAGTCGAGTCCTGATCCGCCTCCGAGTAATCCAACTCGATCGCGGCAAATATCGGGTTATCAAAACCACAATCAACCCCACAGATGGAATAAACTATCGTGTGTGACTTGTGTGCTTCCAAGGGGGACGAAATAGTCAACCTAGCAGCTGTATCCCTATTCAAAACATAAACAAGTTTCTGCTTCTCGCAAGCTCCAATCATACAAGCCCTACCCTTGGGATCAATGGCTAAATACTGCCCCGGTACTATCCTCCGACACCCCGATTTTCCAAAAGTTTCTTGGTGAATTTTATCGAACACATTCTTTTCCTTGTTATACTCGAGAATTACAATTCGACCCGAATCGGACCCGACGACAATGTAATCCTTTTGAGCACCAGTGAGCCGAAACTGAGCTAAAGACCTGATTACGCCGAAAATTTCGACGGAGAGAACAGTCTGGATCTTACCATTTTCGTCGGGCCGAAGAAGATCGAGAACCTTGCCTCTGGCGACGACGATCTCCTGAGTCTTTCCGCCGGAGAAATTGCCGTTGATGGCGGAGATTATTCCCGTCGGTCGCTGTAGAGTGAGGCTGTAGAGGTACATGGCCGAGTTTCAGAGAGCTTCCTCGCTAGGGTTATGGATAATGGCGACGAAGAAGAAGAAGGAGAAGATTTGTGAGGTTTGGAGAGAGTGGTAATTTGGGGATTTAGGGTTCTAGTGGAAGTTCATCGAGAACAATTTTCTGGAGAATGTGGAAATAGGTTAGGGTTTTAGATTTGGGATTAACAGAGAAAGAGAGCGGGAGACTAAAGAGAGAGAGAGTTTGAGAGTCCAATCCAATACTGAACCCTAGAAAGTGAAAAGACGCACCGCCAGACCTCCGTTAAAAAATTAAAAATAAATACATATAAACTACTGCCTTTTATTGACATATCCAACGGCTGAAATCAACTAAACCATGCGCACTATAGGGTCTCATATTTTAGAGTGTGACTTGAATGTAGTTTTTGAGTTAAATTTAAATTATAATTTGACTTAAAATTATAACTTGAGTTTGTGCTACTGCCTTTTATTGACATATCCAACGGCTGAAATCAACTAAACCATGCACTCTATAGGGTCTGATATTTTAAAATGTGACTTGAATGTAGTTCTTGAGTTAAATTTAAGTTATAATTTAACTTAAAATTATAACTTGAGTTTGTGTTTACTTGTGTACATTTGAGTTATGGTTTGAGATAAGAATCTTTTTGAGTTTGTATTTGAGTGAATCAAAACTTGAATTTGTATTTAGATAGTATTTTAATAAAAACTCAATGGTGATTAAATATTTTAATAAGGTATATGGGTGGGGTTTTATTCATCTTTTCGTTGTCAACGCATAGAAAAAAAATCATTTCAATCAGGATTAAAACAAAAAAGTTATAGCATTTTTAAGAATAAAAAAAAATATTGTTCATTAATTTGAGTTCAAGTTTCTGAACTTGAGTTGAAGGGGAAACTTGAACTTGAGTTTTAGTCCCAAACTCGAGTTCAAATTCGAATTCAAACTTAAAAAAACATGAACTTAAATAAAGTTAGAACTCGAATTGTCTTTTTTTAAGTTTTTTAGGCTGCCGAACACACCCTTAGTAATAGACTAGTGAGTTATATCTTATATGTGTTGTTACACGGATGTTTGTTTATTTATTTTATGATAAGATTTAAATAAATAATATAATACTCAACTATGAAATAATGAGTATACAGTAAAATATTTTTAAAAAATAAAATATAAAGTTAACATAAATAACGATACACGATTAAAATGAAAAAAGATCTTTATACGTGAGATGAGTGCGTGACAGTTATATAAATTATTTTTTAAAAAAGGTGAAAAAAGAAAAAAGATACATCTCACCCCAAAAAGATTTTAACTTATTTTATTATGTTTTTAATTAGTTTTATTTGAACTTGTTTTTTATTTAATTTGGTATGATTTTATTTTATTTTAACTCACTTAAAAATAAATAAATAAATAAACATAATAAATAATAATTAGGAAAAATAAATGATTCTAAGTCATGTACGTGATCTATTCAAAATAACTAATATGCAAATTATTTAAAAAAGGAAAGAAACGAAAGGGAAAAAAAGGCATAAAGAAACATATAATAATAATTTTTGGGGGGGGTTTGTGGTGGTAGCGAAGGAAAAAAGCCGATAGGCCCGTATGAACCTATTTTGTTTAATTTATTTTTTAATTTAATTTGACGTGATTTTATTTTATTTAGTGTATTTTTTGAATTTAATTTGATTAGTTATAGTATTTTTATCTAAGTTGTATCAGGAATTTCGTGAAAAATGGTTTTAAAACGGATAAAATCGGACAACAAATCCATTAAAAAGTAGTAATTAAATATAATAAATAATAATAATAAAAATAATATGGAATTTATCACAGGCTGTTAGATCTAAAAATTCAACGGTTGCCTTGGCGCGTGAAACACACGCGCAAGGAGATGCACGTCCAGTGTGGGGTAGGGGACAAAGGCGTCAGCAACACCGGAGGTGGGCCCCGTCACTTTCTTCTTCTGACGAATTAAAGCACGACACGTGGATAAGGCTGTTGGCCACAATAGGAGATGCACGGGACCATCTGCTTCAATTTCACGTGAGCGCGCTCTTCTTGACCATTAAAACTGTGAAATGTGGTGGTGTTGTCTATCTAGCGGTCTGTATTGTGCCACGTGGAGAGCACTTAAGGAGGTGCGCAATTGTGTTTTGACACATGGACGTTACGCTAAATCTCGCCGCACACAATCTTTTTCCCACCAGAAAAAAAAACAACGTGGTAATTGTAGGGCAGCGAAAATGACTACAAGGCCCAACCAAAAACAACTGAATAAATAAGAAACCGAGGGCAAAATGATAAAAGCAATACTAAGAGAATATGGATGAAATTTTCTAAGATCTGAATGAGAGAAGAAACAGGGCACAATTCAAAGAACAGTAACTCGGGTGCCTTCTTTAATATATAGTGTAATTTAGACTTTTAAATATAATGGTACAAGTTGAGAATGTGATATTTAAATCTAATATGTATCTAATATCTAAACTAAAAACTTATCTCCTAATAACTACGATTTAAAATAATTCAAATCTTGAACTAAAAGATAACTACTAATCTAATATCTAAATATTAGGGATAAATTAAATACAAACTATTTAAATTTAAATTAAATAATCATCCTTATCATGTCCTGTAAGATGGAACTTTAATAGGAGAATCTAATCTTGAACCGTGATAGAAGAAATCGACATGAGTGATGAGGCGTGGTCATGACTGCAACGGCGATAAACATCGAGAAGAGGAGAGGGAAGGGCGCATGGGCGTTGAGACGCAATCGTCATGAGGGAGAAGAGGAGAGGGCACATGGGCACTGAGACAACAATCATTAGGAAGGATAAGAGGGGAGGCGCTTAGGCGTAGAGACAATGATCGTCAAGTGGCAGAAGAGGGCGCATGGGTGAGGAGAAGGCACATGAGTGTAGAGAAAAAGGAGGGCACGGGAGAATTGTTGGAGGAGCATTGCTTGGGGATGAATAGAGGTGCATTGTCTAGGGATAAATGGAGTGTTGCTTGTTGAAGCAATAAAAGTGTGGAGAAAGAGGAATTATTGGTCTACTTATCTAATATGTTAGATAAATATTAGGTTCAAATTCAAACTCCTCATGTAACTCTAGTAGTTATCTTTTAGTTCAAGGTTTGAATTATTTTAAATTGTATATATTTATAGAGTTACATGAAAGTTTGAATTTGAACCTAATAATTATCTAATATGTAAACTAAATACTTATCTCCTAATAACTACGATTTAAAAGAATTCAAACCTTAAACTAAAATGTAACTATTAATATAGTCTCTAAATATTAGGGATAAACTAAATACAAACTATTTAAATTTAAATTAAATAATCATCCTTGTCATTTAGAAGGGAAAAAATGAGCAGTTTCAGACTTTTTGGTGGGCCTCCTTATTAGAGGACTTGATTTATTATCCTTAAATCTAGTTAAAATCACATTAATCCTATTAAAGTATATAAAACAAACAATTTTTGATATAGATTTGACAGTTGAAAGTAGAGAAGTAAAGGTAGTTTAATTTTTATAGTCATACTAAAAAAACTCATTTTTTCTTGTTCATTTTCTAATCCCCATAAAAAATGTCAAATCTCAAAATATATATTATAAACAAAAAGCCAAAAACAGTGTGTTATAGGGAGTATTTTCAACTCTTTCTCTCTGAGTATGAAAAAAAAGCTACAGTGCTTGGTCGAAGCTTTGGTCCCACCTCTAGGCGCGTCACCAGGCTTTTGGCCCCAAAATTTGGTCCCCCAATTCTTCTCGACATCGAATTTCTCGTGACGGTGGTTATGCTAGAGCGGTGCATTCATTGGGGTGGATCTAACGTGTCTTGGATGTGGGTTGCTTTTTGCTTGGACCGTTATTTTCAGTGTGTTCATTGGTGGTGGTCGCACTCCCATGGTGTGTTGATCCGTATAGTGGTGAGATTTTCTAGGAGGTAATAATTCTATTCTTTGTTGGTGGTTGGTGTGTTCGTTGCAAATGCACCATCCATTATGCCATGGTCCTCCTACAGTCATCCACCTCCCATGGGTGTGCTTTTCATCTGGAGTGGCTCCGCTTAAATCTAGCTACCCTTACATGGTCGATGGCTTGTTACCTGTGGATATTTCTTTTTTTTTTAGTTGTAATAAGGGCGTTGATGTTTATGCTCCTTGGTATGATTTTTTGTTTTACCTTGGTGTTTTTCTTTCAATAATAATAGAGGAGATGTCCTCCGCTCGTGACTCTCACCCTTTTATAAACGGTGTGGTGTATGATTTTCGGTTAGAGTTCCCTCTATGCCGTGGTGTGATTGTCCCTATTATGTGGGGATTGATCTCAGTTGATTAGGCTAGTCCATTGAATATTTTGGTGTTGTTTAATGAACAATGGTCAAACTTGAAGTTTATATTCTCTCTTGTGCTATTGTGTCTTTAATGGTGGATCCAGTTATTGATTCAAGATCGAATTCCTTTGTATTTACAGCCATTTGTTTCTTGTATAGTTTGTTTTATGTGAAATAAATTTTCCCATTTAAAAAAAAAAACCCCTCAAATGTACAAATGGAATTTCAAATATGGAATTTGGGAGCATACCCATTCATCTTACCAAAAACGACATGTAAATAGGCTACACATGATGTCGTTTTCTCGTCTAGCAAGAACGATTCGAGGAGCATGTCAACATTCTGTTTATACCAGTAAAAATCGCTCGCATATATTGAAAAATTTATTTATTAAGTCTCATTTGAAGAAATAAAAAAAAGACAAAAAGGATAAGAATGACAAAAAATAGAAGAAAACTAAAAAATAAAAAAAAAGAGAAAAAGGAATGAAAATTAAAAATAAAAAAATAAAAAAACTTACAGTAAAACGTTGATAAATAAGTGTTTGATAAATTAATAACCTTGATTAATAAAATTTTTCAGTTCTGTGCCAATGTACTAAATTAATAATCCCGTTAAATACATAAAATAATAATTTTTTTCAAATCCTTTAATGCCCAAAAAAATATAAATTAATAATAATCAAATAATAAATAATAAATAACATATAAAATGTTTTTCAAATTCCTTTTCTTTTGACAACTTCAATTTTCTCATAATATACATATGTATGTACATACTTATTATCATTCTATGCACAATGTAGTTACAATAATTTTTGGACTTTTATGTATATGCATATAATATAATAATTCTATGCACAATGTAGTTACAATAATTTTTGGAATTTTATGTATATGCATATAACTTTTATTAT